CTTTTGATTTAAAGGGGAAGTATGAAAAAAAACAATGTATTTTTTTTTTTGGGGGGGGGGGGGGAATCAGATTTTTGGGATTAAAGTCTGGATTCTGAGAAAAAGTCAGAATTTTGAGATTAATGTCCAAATTTTGAGATCAGTCAGAATTCTGGGAATAATCTACTGAGATTAAAACTCAGAATTCAGAATTTTGAGAGAAAAAAATTCTTAGTTTTAGGTTAAAGCCGTAATTCTGAGAATCCTCAGAAATATGACCTTAGTTTTCTGAGAATAAAACTCATAATTGTAAAAGAAACACAAAAAAACCCCTCATAATTCTGAGTTTAAAGTCATAATTCTTTTTTCAGTGGCCCTCTTCCTCTTTCACAGTGTCTTCCATGGCTGTGCAAAATACCCTTGAACCTTTTCACGTTTTCACGAATGAAATTGTAAAAAGTGCTGCGTGTGTTTGTACTCACCCTTTGTATTTTCTTGGCAGCTTACATAGATTGGCCAACTTGTTTGGGTTTATTATTATTGTTAATAGATACAGGCTGCAGTGAGTGTGGAAGGTCTGCATGCACCAGCTGACAGGCGTCACTTAACTTTTGTACGTTTATTTTTCAGTTTTCATGGGGGAGCAAAAATCTTTCTTAGAATTTTAGAGTAAAAAATAATGTGAAAAACATTTTATCTGCTGTCTGACTGCACCAGAGACTCTTTTTTTTCTCTGATAGAGTTTATATCCGAGAAAAAGAAAAACATGAGCACACGATGACCTGACTTTAGAGAATTATCCTTGAAGCAGTTTTATCTAAAACAACACCCCGACTCTTCAGTTCACCCACAGCAATAACAACAATTAACTAAGTGAAAGCTGGACAAAGTCAAAGTCAAAAGAAAATCATATAAAAGGAAAAAAGAACCAGGCAACAGAACAGATTCCTACGAACTACAGACATACTGAATGTAAAGAAATTATAGTAGGTTGTTTTTACGTACAGCTCTCCTCCTCTGGAAATCTGCTGACAGCATAACAGGAATAAACGACTCCCAGGAGCTGAGAACAAATTCAAGAACATCAAGAAAAAGGTTTCAAAGCTTCCTGCTTGCTTCAGATTTTATCTTTTAGCCAAAAAATAAAATAGCACATCACAATGTCCCAGGTGAATAAGTGTTTGCTGAATTTCTCTGTGAATTGTGGTATTTGAAAATAAACATAATAAAAAATACCTCCTTCTGTTTGTTGAGAAATCTAATGTTGCACAATACAATCAAAAACTGATTATTTGTGCAAAGGTTTATATTTTTTAAACTGAGGTGAACTTTAAGCTTCTTGTTTGTCCTTTAAACTTATTAATTAGTGAAGAGAGTAAATATTCAAAACCAAGTAAATGTGTTTGAGTTTAAATTTGCAGACCTGACAGAGAAAGTTTTGCTGTCAGTTTGTGTAACATGAGAGACTCACGGACAGAAGGAGCTGGGCGGCGCAGTGCAGAACCTCCAGGTACTGGTACTGCAGCCAGCAGCTCGACACCATGGTTAGCCGGGGGTTCTGGTGCTCGCTCCACCTGTCAGAGGCCTGGTTCTGACTCCGACATCCCGGCCCGTTGCTCTTCCACCAGGAGGAATGTGAGGAAACTCCCAGGGAGAGGACGTGGCTGTCCTGCAGCGAGACCAGGAGAAACGGACCCGGTCAAACCAAAGTCTCCTAAAGTAATGCTTTCTGAATGAGGTCAGCGCTGAGTCACGTGATTTTTGTCACTTAAGCATTAAAATGTGCTAAACTTTAATACTGTTCTGTTCAAATATAACGAGAATGGTCTTAATGCACAGCACATAAACCGATAAATGTAATAAAATAATTTTTATTTGGAAAGATTCAGATCCAGGATTGGCTTTTATATTTAACATAAAAAATATGAGAAATTATTTTTGAAAAACATTCACATTTCAAACAAAACAAATAAAAGATGATTGACCAAAATTATTATGTCATTAAAAAAAAACAAAAAAAATCCTGCTTTTGCCCACCGCACTTTCCAGTTTTTTGTTTGTAAAAAATGTTAGGAATTATGTATAATTTTCTTTCAACTTCACAGATGTGCACCACTTTGTGTTGATCTTTCACATAAAAGTCCAATAAAATATGTTCATATTTGTTGTTGCAATGTGACAAAATGTGGAAAAGGTCAAAGGGTATGAATACTTTTGCAAGTGACTGTAAATAAACTTGTAAAAGAAAAAAAAGCAGATTTTCTGATTCAAAACAGAACTTAATGTATAAATATTCTGACAAACCAAATTAGTATTTTTATTTTATTTTTTTCTCCTTCTAGGTCTGTTTTGCTAAGTGTCTTTTTTCTGTTAAGCCAATAAAAAAATCTATAAATAAATTACAATATTAATTAATTGAATAATACACTTGTACATAGAATTAAAAATAGTTCAACAACTAAAATGATAAAAATAACAAAAATGAAAACAATGACAGAACAATAAAATAATTTGAAATAAAAACTGAAAATACAAATAGACATTGTCTTCTATGCTAAAACAACATTAAGTTCCTGTATTATTTTGTACTGCGCAGTGGTGTCACTGATTATAATAAACAAAAGATGTAATAAAATAATATTTACATTTTTATTGTACTTTGAGAGTAATGTGAATAAAAAATTAACTAGAATAAATTATTAAACTCAAAAGAAAGTAAAAAATATCAGATTTAAGTGAAACCAAATATGACAGGAATATAATAAGCAGGAAAACACGATAAATCAGCACTAACATCAATATTGGCCGATATTAGTCATTTCTTAAAATATCGGTATTGGCCCAATAAATAAAAGTGGGTCATTATTAACAGCTGATCTTTATCTCCATCTTGTTGCCTTCTGATTCTGTAATCCCCCTCCTCCCCCCAAAGTGTTAAAAACTTACAGAAATAAATATAATGTTGGCAAATATTGTTGAATGTCCATAACTTCAATATTAAAATCAAATATTGATAGCAGCTCAAATTTTCAAACCCTAATAATAAATATTTTAAAGTAAATATTTAACATCTGATGACAGACAACTTTAAAACTTTAAAAGCATTTTTTGCATCTGTTATCAGCAGTGGATCAAAAGAGAAACAGATTTAAACACTGAGTTAATTAGAGACTTCAGTCACTACAGCCACCTCTAATTATCCGTCCTAAATAACCGGGCCTTACCTTCGAAAGGCCTCCCAAATCCAGGTAGAGACAAATCACAAAGACGTTCCAGCCAATCCACACAAACATCCACAGCAGGTACTGGGAACCAGTAACAGAAAAAACGATTCATTTCACAAAGACAAGAAGCAAAGTAACTGAGACAGAAGCTCCAGATTAGCGTTTCTCAAACTTTTTTAGACTGAGGCCCCCTTGAACCACATCACAAACACTAATGGACCACGTAGCTCAAAACTTAATAACACAAAATCTGAATATATACTACCTGGAGTGAAAATATTTGTCTCTTAACACACTTCTTATTGTTTTCTTTGTTCATCCAATGAGAGGGATGGTGCTGTTTTGTAAACGTGACGACAAAAACCATGAATACATAATAGAAAAATGGACTTGAGTTGATTTGGCAGAAACAGAAATCCTCTTCTGCATAATGAAATATAAAAATTACACCGATTTCTATCTCAATAGATAGAAATTATTGTATTCATTTGCAGGTAAATCATTAAAAAAATAAAAATAACAACAGCTGTGAGCAGAGAATCATAAGCAAGCAAAGTAAAAAACAAACAGTTCTAACCAATTGAGACTCGTTCACAGCTTAGAGCCGTTCAAAAGAATCGTACTGCTAGCAAACTACCAATTCAGCAGATACAACATGGCTTCCTCCGATTATAAGTTGTCTTGGCGTTGTTTTCTTTCCACTGGTATCTTAAGCAATTTTTTTTCTGAGTGACTCGGTTTTAAGCCACTTATCCATTATTATTTTTAAACACAATTTTTAGCTAAGCTAGCTGTGTACGTCGCACTCTGAGCTGACGTCACGGTAAAATGACAGACAACTTGTAAACAGGGTACTGCATGTAAACGGTCGTTTACATGCAGTACCCTGCGGACCGCTAGGGGGTGCCCGGGGGACGCAGTTTGCGAGAGAATTCTCTGGCGTTACCATGGTGACGTAGCGTGACTGGTACTGGATGGCCCCGAAAAGTCCCAGGATGACCACGATGATGTGGAAGAAGTTGACCATGATGGGAGCCCACTGGTAGCCCAGGAAGTCGAACACCTGCCGCTCCACCGCGGTTATCTGTCAGCAGGACAATAATTCACACTCTGTAGACTCTACAGTCCAAAAACTTTTACTAAAATAAGAGTAGTACTTCAACATATTTTTACTCAACTAAAAGCAAAACATATCTAAGGAATTACTCAAATCCAAGTAAGAAAGTATTTGGTAAAGATGCTACTCACGTACTGCTTAACTGATCAAAACATCAACCATTTAATATTTGAAGACAGATCCAAAAAGTTGTGTGGAAATGTTGGTATTTTAATGATTAAAATGATAATAATTCATATAATCAACAAAAATATAAAATAAAGGCAAAAGAACCATTTCTACAAATCCATTTCTTTCAAAATAAAACTTTAACAAAAACTGCGGCCGTGTGTCTGATGAATTATTTTAAATTTTTTATATTTTTTTAGCTTAAACAAGATTGTTGTTCATTCAGTGAAGTTACACTGTAAACACAGAAAATCTTGTCACATGTTTTGGTCCAGTTTCTGGTCCAAATACCTTAAAACATTTTAAATAAAACAAAACTAGTTTGCAAGTAACTGTTCAGCAAGATATACAAGTTTGTTTTAAGTAAATAAGTATTAATATTAATAGTAGTTTCACTTATAACGTGGGAAAAATATATAATGTTATAATGGAAATAATCTACCAGTGGAAGTAATACTTTTTAAAAATGATTATTAGGAATTATTGACTTAAAACAAGCTGAAAAGTTACTTTTAAGTTAGATTTGTTTAATTTCAAGTGTAAGTAATTTGCGCTAGAAACTAGATGTAAAAATACTTTTGAGTTTTTGCAGTGCACTCAGAGTGGGGCAGAGTACCAAAGATTTTACTTAAGTAAATGTAACTCGTAACTGCCAAACACTGATTCAGAGACAACAGACTTTACCAGAAACAAAATGTGCGGCTGCTGCACCCCATCATCATTATCGTCACTTTTGTGTGTGTGTGTGTGTGTGTGTGTGTGTGTGTGTGTGTGTGTGTGTGTGTGTTGTCCTGGCAACCGTGCCACTGGGGGGCGCAGCTTGGAGTGTGTGCAGCCTGGAGTCCTCTGAGGTCAGATGGGGGCAGGGTGGGAAACCGGGATGCTATTGTGTCAGGCTGCCTCAGCTTTTTAACAATTTATTATAAGGAGCAGAAAAAAGTCAATTAATTAGCAGGTTTTATTGAACCTGATGTCAGCCAAACGCAACAAACCTGGTGTTTTTAGCTGGAACTATTTTATTTATTTTTTTCAACTGTATTTATTTCAAATGTCTGTTTTTATTTCAAAAGGGCTTTTCTAAATATTTTTCAAAATATATTGATAGATGAACTAAAACTGCGGTAAAATAAATAATATTTTCACAAAGTAGAAATAAAAACAAATCAATATTGAAATTTAAGATAATCTTGTAATAATAACATATTATTCCAAAAATATGTATGGAAAGAAAACAAATTTAAAAAAAATATTTTATTTCCAGTCTTCAACATTACTTTCACATTTTCTATTATTTATATTTCATTTTTATCAGTTGTATAAATTTACAACATTATATATATATATATATATATATATATATATATATATATATATATATATATATATATATATATATATA